GGGGGGGGTGGTTCCAAGTGCTTGGCTCCCGGGCTGGCACTCTGAGCTGTTGCCCAGTCATGGGAAAGGAAAAACCTGGTTGGGTGGTTTTGCAGGGTGGGGCGCAAGGCCTGGTAAAGCTAGACAGGAAAGGCCCCCCCTGCCTCGTTCGCCAGTTCTGTGCCCCACCCCAGAAGCGGCATGGGAAAGGAAAAACCTGGTTGGGTGGTTTTGCAGGGTGGGGCGCAAGGCCTGGTAAAGCTAGACAGGAAAGGCCCCCCCTGCCTCGTTCGCCAGTTCTGTGCCCCACCCCAGAAGCGGCTGCATCCCCCCGCCAGCCAAGCGAATGCCCTGTGCTTTGGGATTGCTGCCATGAAAGCAACTGGAGAAACAATTGATGGTAACTGTGTTTAATAAAAATCAAAGGAGCAACAATCGTTTTGTCTGGCTCAGTCTGCAGAGGGAGCCTGCAGCAAGACGACCCTTAAAGGTTAAAGCAACAGGGACAATAAACCCCTATTAAACAAATCAAAATTCATAGGCTTTTGATGGGTAAATCCCAGTCAATGTCCATTTCACCCACACACACAACCCCAGGGGGAAAGGCGCTTCTATTAATAACTGTCAAAACAGAGAGCTAGGCAAAGAAAAAACAAACCTGGCTGCTTGAGAACATGGTTGAATGTGAGCTGAGGCTATTGACTCAGCATTTGGGTGAAGGGTTTTTAAGCTTTCACTTTTCCATCTCAAACCCTCTAGGAAATCATTATTGCCTGACTCCCCCTCCCCACCCGCCTTCGAACTAACCGCGAGACGAGCCGTCAAACTGACGGAAAAGTAAAAGTCGAGATCCGAAACCAAATTAAAAACTCCATGGCGGCCAAGCCTTGAGATGAACAAGCCATAATTCACAAGCAATAAAACTAGGCGCTAGCTTTGCAGCTGCTCTGGTGACGGTCGAAATGGAGATTATGTTTTTTTATGGCCCTCAGTGGCGTGGAAAATTCACCCCCGTTACCAAGCTGGCCTAAGCCCGCTTGGTAACGGGGGTGTGGAGGCGGCTAAGGATTCTTCCTTCCACCTCGCTACCGTCGCTCGGCAATCAGACCCTTTCAACGGGCTGTTGGAAGCGTCACCGCTCCTCCTGATCAAAGTCCCTTGTTTCCAGTCCTATCCCTCGGACACTGACCCAAACCAGCGGGTTTCAATCCCCCCTGAAGCCTGCACTGTTGACCCCTGGCGGCCGCCTGGGGCTCCAGCTTGGCTTGTTTTTTAGGATTGGGTTGAGATGGAATCATGGAGCCAAGCGGGAAGGTGATGGGTTGGGTTGTTTCTGACACCAAAGAGGCCAGTGGAAACTGGGTTTGAAGGGGTGACAGGCGTGGAAGGGGGAGGCTGGGGGGATTCTGGGTAAAAGACGGGGCAGCCCACATCAGGCGAGAGCTGTCTTTATTAAAAAAGGGGCCAGGAGGGCACGGGAATCCCAGAGGCGAGGGGGCGGCATTGGTCTGTGGGAGGGGGTGCAGAAAAGGGGGGGTTCCTGCA